CCCCCCGGGCCCTGAGTCCCACTCCACTCGAGTCTTGGACGTGTGCAGCACATGCACAAATGGCCAATGCAGTAAAAAGAAGGAATTCTGCTGTTACTGCCCGCCGCCGCTCACTGTCCAGGAAGTCTCTCCATCTTGCCATTTGACACGCATTGAAGGATGCCAAAGGAACGGGCCTCACTGGTGAGGATCATGGACTGAAACGTTTTATTTTAGCTCACTATATATTTTAATTTCAATTGTACTGTTATTGTTTTAGCCGATCACAGTACTGTTTATTTTAGCTCATACACCAGGAGTCGCCCTGCTGTTGATTTTCATTTATTTAAGGTTCAATTAAGACCCCACGCAACGACACCAGCTTCAAATCCCATTTGATTAAAGCCATTCAAGTACTGTACGGATTATATTTCATAATTTGTATGGCACTGTAAATAAAACAAACCAAAAGGAGGTACATTCAGATTACTACTCATGTACCACACTACTGCTACGTACGTCTTTGTGGTGTTTTCTCATTGATCCGTCAGTATTGATATTGCTGCTCATAAGTTGGTCAGTTGTTTTCACTGTAAACGTCACTGTTCATAGTGTATGTTTATCTTATAGAAATATTATGTATGTATGTATAATGTGTTCTTTTCATTTGTAACGTCATAGCAAAACCTACTTCAGAGGCCATATGAAGTCTGTACTGTACAGTAAGCACTTTGCCAGTATAGTTTCTTACCTAAAATGGATGTACAAAATAAATGGTCACTCCTCCCACTATATCTATGAAGCTGTTGTTCAAATGTCAGTTAAAACAACTCAGGAATCTTGAATGATTTCTGACTGTGGTCACTAGGCAGTGATAATTACCTGTCCACTGTATTCCTTTCATCGCTGGTATCACAACTATTTTAATAAATGCTGTAAATCATAAAATATAGTAAGTTACAAAGTTAAAAAAGAGAATATCCGTGACCCAGTTAGATTCACCGGTTTTTATACTGTCTGTATTATTGTTTGTTATAGTGTGTGTGTGTGTGTGTGTGGTGTAAAGATAATTTGATATGGTTAGCATTGCAAATTATTTTATGCAAAAATATTTCTACCGTAAGTGTAAAAGAAACTATTATATTCTATGAATTTGTTCTTATTCTGCTATGTGGGGTCCTGTTTTAGCAATAAGTATTCCATACTGTGCAGTGTATGGACTGATGAACCTGGCTGATACGCAGGCAAAGATTACTTTGTGAAATGATTCGTATCATCGTCTGTCTGTGTGTAGCTACAGTGACGATACGGACAATAGCTTACGTGCCTTGTCGAAGCTCTTTATGTGTAAGTCTTGTACTGATAATTTAAGTGTTCAGAACAGATGTACAGGTACTCGCGTGATGGCATACACATGCCAAAGACGGACCATCATTACTTTTCAAGAGTTAACTAGTACACAGCTCATTTTCAGAGGCTTCTGTCTGTCGTAGTATTATCCCACGTCTGTGTGAAAGTCGTAGCCTGAGCCGCTGACTTGAATAATGTAACTGAATTTATCTTCCATTACAAACGTAATGCACTCTTAATACTGTGTGTGTTCTGCTGTCACAGCTCAAGTATCTTCTCACATCCAAAAGCTCTGAAAACAACGCTGAGGTACTGGTTTTTGAATGATCAGTGAATGTTACATTTATTGATCAACATAAAAAATGAAGATGGTGACACACTGCCAAACCTCTATTTTCTAAAGCTCTTACATTTTATTTGGGTCACAAGTACTTCACAAGATGTTTCCCTGCACTTATAGATAATTTGATCTTGAAAATGTGAGTTGTCGATCAGTGGAACACCCACCTACTGTACCAATCATTTCATGTTCATTTTGATGAAAAATAACCTATTTTCACATAGAGATTTTAGCTCAAACAGGTGGATCAACGAAAACATGGAACACTCAGTCATCACTTAGTAAACATACATTAGTACACATCCTGTTGTTGATGACTTTTCCGTCATGACCATTTGGTGCAAAGCAATAAAAGTGAATACATGGTGTTTTCTATTGTCTTCATTTTAAAACCACACATGGGATATGTTATATTATAAATGAGTCTTGAGTGTTTGGCTGTTTAATTTCTCAGGCAGGGATAAATGGACTAGTTCTTTCTTCTCCCGACTCTGCACTCAGATCACACTAAGAAAACATTTTTTTTGTAACTTCCCGCTATACAAGTCATATGTTTCCTTAATGGTTTCAACACTAAAGCAGGACCAATTCATAAGGAAGGCTAATCTATTTTAGCTTATCAAAGATCCATCAGAAAGACATGCCTCAACTATCCTCATGGTATGTTTGAGACTATGGTAAACGTTTATTTTTTAACTAAAATGAACAGAAGTCCTTCATTTGTCCCACAGCTGGGAAATGTACAGTAAGAATAGATAGGCAAGTACACGTTAATAAAGAAAAAGAAAATAACTACACATCCATACAACAATAAGTAGCAGCATTCCAAAAGTAAGCGAACATATAAAGTAATGAGGTGAAGATTTTTATGACAAAAAAATGTATCTTTAATACTTAAATATTGAAAACAATGTGTAATAGTTAAAACGTTTTTGATTGTGTCCTCAAGGGTAAAAGAAAAATGTTGCGAGGTTATTTGTAACAGTTCATGCTTAATACAAAAGGTGGCAGTATAGTTCCATCTTCCACGTTACAGCTGAGGCTACTGGCCCTTTAAAGATTCTGAGTAACCTTGGTTACACTCCCTGGCACACAGGTGTTTTCACTTATTGGACTAATTAGTGCTGCTCTCAGGCCTGTGGGCAGGTAATATTGGGTTCGATTTGACATTTCCTCACTGCTCTTTTAGTTTAGTGATCTTGTTAGGGTGGGGAACTTGCAAGGGACCCTGAGCAGCAGGTCTATTCAGCCGCGGTAAGTGAGAACACTTGTCGTTCTGCAGGGTTTATAAATGTGATTTTACAGATATATGATTAATGCACTTAATTAGTATCAAAGTTGTCAGTCTAGATATGCTGAAGCGTATATTTGAAGGTGAACCTTCATATCAGCAGGTAAGGGCCAGAAAATAAAAGTGGACAATAATTTAAATGACCTAAAGTATTCATGTGTTAAGTGTAATCCATCCTGAATGTAATGTTTGTGTATTGTTGTGCACTGTTTTAGGAGTTGTAGTACCAACCTAATCAGTATGATATCAAATTCTCATTATTAGCATATAATCGAATGTTCTTCCACAGTGGAGCTACACGTTAACTGATTGACTGTAGTCCATTTAACACAATTAAATAGTTGTTTTTATGATGCTTTCTGTGGCGCAGGACAATGATGTCAGTAGTTCTGATGATATGTTCTTTTATTTACAGAGAATCTGGAGACCCAAATGATAACATTACCATGAATGAAGGTTTATTAAACATGATTAGTTCACAACATGTTAACAGCAGCAGCCATTTCACACACTTAAGGTGAGAGCTTTGTCCTACAGGAACTCTGAATCGGGGCAGTAGGACATTTTAAAGTTTCTATGTTCGCTCGGTGCCACATGACTTTAAACCCAACAAACCCCGTCCTGTTGTATTTTCCATTAATAGTGGAATATCCATTCTTCTACTTTACTCAGGCTGTCAGAGAATTAGTGGTTCATGTTTCACTTTAGTAAAAATCACACATCGGCAGTTATCACTCTGAGATACATTTCAACACAGTAAACGATGTGTAAAGACAATTTTATGAACTCTCATTCTAGGATTCCTCATATAAATGATTACAGGCGCTACATGACTCGGGGGTTAATCACTGAAGGCTTAGTGGCCCCCTTTTTAAAATAACATCTCTTATTTAGATAAAACACTGTTACAAAAAATAATTACAAACAAAACTAATCCAACAAATATTGCAGCTTCTTAAAAAAGAAATAAAGACAGATTCAGGTTTGAGGCCTAATGCTGCAATGCTATATATATATATATATATATACTTTAAATGTGCCTGCTGTCATTTAAAAAAAATAATAAAATCTGAAACAAAGCATTGGCGGACACTATTAATTATTTTGACTATGTTCACAAGGCGTCATTAGCAATCCTTGTATAGCAGTTAAACCAAGTTTGTATCTTTTTGAAAGTGAAAAAAACATATGAAGTGACTTTTCTTATTCCAGGTTAAATCAGTCATTTGTCTTTTGGCTCAGTTTTATATGTGGTAAAGATCACTATTGGGGAAACTAACACTTTACTGCAACAGAAACAGTTTCCCTAAGCAGGAGGGAGACTCGTCCTCCTGTGAAGAAACAATGTGTCCTGGTGGAGAACTGTGGCGGCTCGTGGTTCAGTTAGCAGCGTTTGGCGGCCCCTCTGGGATGAGAGACATGAAGAAGGTGATGATGAAGGACCAGGTGGAGGACAGGAAACCCGTGTGTGGGGCGCTGTTCGGATCTTCTGCTGCTTCCTCTCCACTTTCCCCATCATCGTCTGACCCATCGTCCAACACTCCTTCCTATAGTGTAATAGGAGGACAATCGGGTGTTAAACAGTAGCACTAAAATGCACCAGATTATATTTGACTGAGATGAGATTCCATTATGTTAACTTGAGCATTTGCTCACTAATGCAAAGTTACTCCCATGTCTGACCAATTCAGACTCATCGTATGCAGATAAAGTATTTCAGTCAATGTCCATTTTGTACTTTAAAGTAAACCTGTAACCAACATTTAAAGACAAATAAATTCCATTTACTTTCATAACTGTAACATGGATTTGGTGACTTGAAAAAACTGTACTTTTACTTTTGATTGAAAGTGTTCTTTGATACATTTCACATCACATCCGCTGAAGAGTTAAAGCAAAACTCTCCAGCAAAAAATAATATATAATGTATCATATGAAATGCTTGATCATGTTTGATCCTCCAGCGTGACTTCTACATTGGTTTAGGATATTTTAACTGCAGTGATTTGAGTGAGGCATTTCTGATGTTAAAGCTTGAGATGTCTGAGAGATGGTTGGCTACCATCTCCTGAAAGTCTTGGTTCTGTTGCTCTCCCTCCAGATCGTCCTGATTGGCTCCAGGAAGCTGGAGTTCATTCTCCAGGTTGAAGGGAAACCAGCCGGCCTGATGCCTGCAAACGGGGATAAACAACTGACGTTAAACACTTTTTATGTCCTGCCCTAACCTTGAATAACATCAGGTTTTTTGGGCCTAAATGTAGGAACACCAAATTGTATTGACTGTTTTGATGTAGTTCCAGTAAGAAAAAAGCCTCAATGATTATGGGAGATTGATAACACGATATAATATAAACCAGAACTGCAGAATGAGGAAGGACTCACAGGTAGAGCACCAGCATGGCCATCATCACCATGACGAAGCGGCTGAAGGAAGAGTAGAAGTAGACTATACTGAGCAGGATGGCAGCACGTGAAAATGTGTACACCCAGTCCAGCCAATCCCTGTTGAGCTCCTCCTCGTTCAGGATCTCTCCTCCCTGAGCGTTCATCTGGACTTCTGGGTTGCCACGGCGATCTGCCTGAGGACGCTGGCTCAGAGGGTCGGGCTGGTTGGAGTTGGGCGAGGGCTGATCGGGTCTGAGGTGTTGAGAGGAGGCCGCCAGGTACTGACTGCGGGGAGACAAATAAGAAATAAAGTTGGCTGTAATGCTTTTTATTTCTGCCTGGAGGGGTAAAACATCCAGAAACATGAAGCAACTTACTAGTGCATGTAGTATTGTCGGGCGTACAGCTGCTGCCACCACATTAGTGTCATGGGGTTGTAATAAGCAGGCATGTTGGTGGGGGGGGTGGACTCAGGGGAGTATTGATTCCAGCTGGAAATAAGGGACATTGCATTAGAACAACACATTTATTTGACCTGCAACACACATCATAACTTAACATGAACCACCATTGTAAAGAGACTAGGATAAATGGAAAATCTGTCTTTTTCCAACAAACTTCTCTGATAAATGTAATTCAGTTGCAGCTAAAGCCTATTTCCAGGTTTCATTCAGCACTTTTTTTGTATATGTCACTTTAAATGAAAATCAAGACTAATCTCACATGCAATCATTCCGCTATCTGAATCTGCATGACGTTAAAACAAGAGGCCTTTGACAATTTGTCCCAGACATTTTTTAAATAAAAAAATTGATTGAAGATAATTTTAGCAATTTAGGGCTTATTTTGGGATAAATTAGTTTAAGGCCTCTTCAGATTATTTTTATGGATTTTCAAACAGTTTCTGTAATAAAGAACACTTCACTTTATTAATTTGTGGAAGTGATGGCTTTTTGGCTTTTCCTAGTCATTGGTGTTTTTTATGTTAATGTCATTTGCCTTGCTCGAGTTATATTTGGCACCTAAATCATCTTGAATTATCTTCTTAAAGGTTTATTTTTATGTTCTTTTTTGAGTCAGCTTACTAAACTACAATTTACCTCTGCACTGCAGCAGTCCAAAAACTAACCTGTGCATAAATTGAGGATACATCTGGTGGTAGGGGAAGGGTCCAGCTCTCTGTGTGAGTCCATCGCTACTCTCTCCTGTAGACGACTGGCTCTGCTGACCAATGGGAGGACTGGCAGAGTTTTGAAGGGGCTGTAACCATAAAAAAGAACGTTTAAGGTTCATGTATGAAGAAAGGCGAGTGTTGTTTTCAAACCTCAAGGAGATACAGATGACAGCAGTGAGCCGGATGATGAAAGCAAATGCACCGATGATGAAATTAGTGAGAAAGGTGTGAGGAGTGTGTGGCGGACCCACCGTGGGACCGGCCGGGCTCTCCTGAGGCTTGTTACCGCGGCTACGGAGGGGCTTCGGAGAGCTGGGAGGAGTTCGTGATGCGCACACCAGATGGAGCATATGATACTCATCCTGCTGCAGAAGTGAACACAGGTAATTATAAAAATGTGAACAAGAATTGCACTTTCAAAAGAAAAGAAAACAATTGAACTATAAGGGTGTAAATAAATGTGTCTAGTTTCAAATATGTGTGTGTGGGGGTCAGGTCAGGGCTCTGTTTTTTAGGCCTTACTCGTGGCTCTGTCATGTTAAAGCAGGAACCTTCTCCAAACTGCTGCCACAAAGCTGGGAGAATGTTTTTGTCTGAAATCTCATTGTGTCAGTAAGATTTAAAGCAGCTCGCTCAAACCATGAGAGTTTGACAGAGGTGAGCTTTAGTATTATTAAACTAGAATAAAAATAATATTCAGCACGGAGAGAACCTACCTTTCTGAGCACATCTTTTAAGGTAAAGTGATCCAAAAGCAGCTTTCCAGAATACACCAACCTCTGGTCTTTGGAGCTCTAGAAATCCAGAATGATAAGGACAATGGGTTCACAGGAGATTAAAGAATACATTTTACCCTTCATGAACTATTGTAGTTCAAACTGCAATCTCTGAAAAGTAGACCACGACATCAAATGCATAAGGAGGATGAGATTATAGTAGCTGGTTAAATAAGTGGTTTTAAAGGTGGATTAACCTCGCAGTGCAACAAGGTCAGTGTGTCCTTTTAAAGCCTGCATCCAATGGACAGGGCGACCATTCAGGAATTAACATCTAAATCTAAAATGCAACAGATACCCTTTTATCTTGGGTTCAAGATGCTTCATTGTTAAATATTCCACAGGTAATGTCCGCCTATTTACACTAACAAAAGGGAAGCCATTACAGAGATTATTCCACCTCTTTACAATGAAGCAGTTTGCCTTGTTTGTTTACCATGAGTGCGTCAGACGAGCCCCAGGCAGAGGAAAGGAGCACAGTGAGATTAGCAGCACAACAAAGAAGGAATCTAAACCCTTTCCTCTCATTGTGACGTCAAATCTACAGAATCCAAAAGGCCTTTTCAGGCCCCATGACACTGGAAACCGAACCTCTTAACAATTCAGAGAATAAATAAGGTGAATGTCTGCTGCATTTTCATGATAATAAAGTGAGTCATTTAAACCGCAGAGGATGGAGTCTGAAAATGTTGGATAAGCCCTGCACTGAAATAGAGTTATATTCCCAATACCTGATAAATCCACAACTATTTCTAAGGTAAACCGTAAATCTGACATTCAATAAAATAATATATTTCATTAAATCTGTTATGTGCAACATTAAAATGGAAGAAAATATATGGCAAGTAAAAAAGGGCAAACTAAAGCACATTTTTTTCAAGACAAGCAATAAAAAACCCAGATAAAGAGGAGAAAGGGATCAGGGCAATATTGGTTACCTTAGAGCAGCGTGTATGGTGGTGCAACAATGTTTGATCTCATCTTTCACATCTCACTTCTTGGGTTCAAATTCGACAAACATCATTTACACCATAGCATGAAGGGAATCAGCTGACTGTGCATACCAAGTGACTATATTGTATAAGTGAACAGTTTTGGTCCGGCTGGGAAACATTTTTACACGTTTATGTCACCAGTTTCTCCTGTGTTTCTGTTTTTTGTTCATGTTTTCATCTCCTGACAGGGGCAACAATACTCACCGGTTTGCTCGGGTAAACATCTGACAGGTGTGCCTTGAGTTTCTCCACAGTCCAGTTCTGGTAACAGTTGATGGTCTGGTCAACATACTTCTGGTTGGGTGCTTTGATGACAAGGATAACAGGACTGTCGACAACACCTTGATCCATGACTCAAAACCATTTGTCTCCAATTTAAAACAAAAAGGATCTGGATACAGTCCTCCCAATAGTGTACTTCTTAGTATGTGGTATCTGACATCGTCATGTGCTTTAAGGTTATTGTAAAGCTTGATGTTGCTAATCTGCCAAGTTGTTTTCTGTAATTGTGTTCAAACGGTACACAGCTGAGACCTAAAGAGAGGAAGGTAAATATATTAGTGATTCCAATGACATATTAGTAAGATCATGTAAAACAGACCGTTTATTAGACTGACAGGCAAGGAGAAATGTGGTTTTGCATATAACGATGTAATTATTTGATTAATGTTACTGGTTTTAATGCGGAACATATATGGACAGACACAGCTACACTGTCACACAGGCTCGTTCATCCGTACAGAGACATAACGGCAGTAAATGGATAACATAACACTGTTAGCCCTGGTTAGGGGTATTTAACTGGCTTTGCTAACGTTAGCCTCAGTGGGTTCTCTGCTGCTAATGTCAATCAACTCTAGCCATAAAGTTGTTAGCTAGCATACTTAGCTAGCCGAATTTAACCGATCTAGTTTGATTAGTATATTTGTTTAAAATAGAGGAGTGACATGTGATGTTTGCTTACCTCATTACCCCCAGTGACCGAAGAGCCCTCCTGTTACTCAGCCCTGAAGCTGCTGGGGGCTGTCCTCATCTTCTTCGGTCAGTTCAGGGTGTTGTCGACATTCAGTGGTAGTGATGCATTACCGCCCCCCATTGGGGGACGAGTGAGCTACAACAGCGACTTGATTAAATCCACTGAGTATAATAATACGAGCATACTTTTGGAGCAGTGGTGTAAACTATAAAGTAAGTGAGATTTACTTTTCTGAAATTGACTATTCTGCATAATAAGTCCTTTTATTTTTGGTACTTTACATATATTTTGATACGAATACTGTTCTACTTTTACTTGAATAACATTTTTGATGCAGGACATTTTATTGTAACAGAGTATTCCTACACTCTGGTACTTCTACTTTTACTTAAGTACAACATCTTAGTACTTTTTCCACCTCTGTGAATGAGTTTTATCTTTTTCAATAATGCAAAATAAAGTTCTATTCTGTAAGGGGCTAACCAAGAAAGCTACAGTTCAGAGAGTGTTTTGGAGCCAGATTATATTAAATCATATTTGATTTATAAAGAGTTGGGATGGTAATGCCGAAAAATATGTTGCCCGTTCCGGTATTGTGTATAATAGGTTGTTGTGCAGATGTAGAGATGTTCTCTCCAAAAGATTTTCTCTCCCAGAATGTTTTTGTTCAATGTTATAAAATATTTAAAATTAAAAATACGTCTTGAAATAATTCCTCAAACTGGGATCAATACAATGCCTAATCTCATTTTATGTAATCTAATATAATCTAATATACTTAAAAGGTGATGGAATTCATATTGTTATACAGTTGATTTTATTTCATTTATTTTATTTCCTTCATATACTTACTTAAAAGAGATTGCATGCATATGCGCGTCATACAAGCACTCCAGTACTCAACAACAACAAAAAGTACATACTCTCCAGTCCTGACTAAACTAAGTGCTCAGTTGTCTTGGTGCATTTTACAGTGGGTTCATTTCAACATTCAGAATTGAAATGATTGACATTTGAACTGGCTAAATATGAAGTATAGTAATGTAATTTTTGAAATTCCTCTCGCCTATTTGGTCTGGTGGGAGGCAGGGTTTAGCTTCCACCTACCAGGCCACACCTGAACTAATTTAAGGCCTGAGTCAGCCCTGCTCAGTCTCTCCTTTGTCTGAAGCAGCATGCTGATTCACATGTGTTCTCCTCACCAGCTGACTGTTTGATGCATTCTTTGAGTAAGTCGTTAATATGTGTTATAGTTATTGATAGCTTTGTTTATGCTTACCATGCTAAAGCAACATTTTGTTTGATTGAACCCTAGTGTTATGTTCTTCCTGATTGCTATTTTTGTGTTTATACTCTAGCCATAAAATCATCTTTAACTGTGATCGTCAACCACTCTTGTGACGAAAATAAATGGTTAAACGGCTCTCATCTCTGGTCCTCCTCATACTTTGACTGGTATGCCAAGGCAGAAGCACTTAAGGTAACTCTCAAACCCAGCCAAATACATTCAAGTTTTACAGTAATTGTTAGTTCTGCAATACACGAGATATTTATTTTTTATGGAAAATGTTTATAAGGATTTTATTCATTCTGTCTAAGGTTCTGTTCTGGGAGCGGGGTACTTATTTTAGCAGAGACGGCCTCCACCCCAGTTCACAGGGCACCAGTGCTCTGTCTGCAAACATTTTTCATGCTGTTTACACTGCTAAACGCACATTAAATTGAATTGAATTGACATTAAACTGACACTTGCCATCTCGCTCTCTGTCGCCACCCACCGACCAGAGACTTCTATGCCAGTGCAGCTCCCCATTTCTGTTCTTCTGTTGACCAAAACATATTGCTAGACCGACTAGAAAACTGGTTGGGAGTTCCGGCTACAATTTAGCATTGGTTTGGATCCTACTTAAAGGACAGAAAAAAAGTTTTCTCTGTTGGGGAAATATTTTCCAAGGTCCATAACTTTGACCCAGTTTATCACAGTCTCTATAGGCAACTACACATCGGCGTTGACAAACATGACGTGGGGTTCCTCAAGGCTCCATCTTAGGACCTTTTGCTTTTTAATATCTATATGCTACCACTGGCTCAAATAATAAAAAACGACCTAAGTTATCATAGCTATGTAGATGACACCCACATTTAGGCTATATAACAATTTCACCAGGAGACTATTCTCTAATTACAACACTGAGTAAGTGCATTGAGCACGTCAATGACTGGATGAGTAAGAACTTTCTCCAATTACACAAAAACAAAACTGAGTATTGTTTTTGGAGCAAAGGCGGAACAAATAAAAGTAATCGCAGAGCTTCAGTCGGCAGACTTTAAAACAACAAATAAAGCAAGAAATCTAGGTGTAGTGATGGACTCAGACCTGAATTTACAGTCACATAACAACAATGACTAAATCAGCCTACTATCACCTAAAGAACATATCTAGGATTAAAAGACTAATGTCACAGCAGGATTTGGAAGAACTTTCAGCAGACTTGATTACTGTAATGGTGTCTTTACAGGTCTCACTAAAAAATCCAGCTGCAGCTGATTCAGAATGCCGCTGCTCGAATACTTTACACTGGCTTCCAGTCTATCAAATAATTGATTATAGAGTACTGCTGCTGGTTTTTAAAGCACCGAATGGTTTAGGACCAAATTATATTAACGATCTCCTGCATATGAACCATCCAGGTCTGGTCTCTGTTCCAAGAGTAAGAACTAAACATGGAGAAGCAGCGTTTAGCTATTATGCCCCGACTATCTGGAACAAACTCCCTCATTTCATTTCAAACCTTTATTTATCCAGATTGTCCCTTGAGATCATAGATCTCTTTTTCAAGGGAGACCTCCAGCAATTAGGTTCCACATAAAACAACATAATAGAGGATATCATACAACATATTTACAAGCTACATTTACATACTTATCAACATTTACAAATACCCATAGTTTCAAAGAGCATTTCACTTAGACTTGCTTTAAAAACATTCAGAGGAATAAAATTGCTCAGTTTCAATTGTAGCTGTAGACGGTTCCAAGCAAGTGGCGCCGCGCACATAAAAGCTGTCTTACCTAAGATAGTCCTTGCGCTTGGCACATCTAACAATACTACATGTGACGATAAGACAGCTTTTATGTGCGCGGCGCCACTTGCTTGGAACCGTCTACAGCTAAAATTGAAACTGAGCAATTTTATTCCTCTGAATGTTTTTAAAGCAAGTCTATTCCTCTGAATGTTTTAAAGCAAGTCTAAGTAAAACATTCAGAGGAATAGACTTGCTTTAAAAACATTCAGAGGAATAAAATTGCTCAGTTTCAATTTTAGCTGTAGACGGTTCCANAATACACTGACACTAACAAGACACAGGTGAGGGGGAGCAATTAAACACAGGTGAGGGGGGGAGGAGACAACCCAGGGCCCCAGGTGCACACAATCATTAGCCACAGACATTCAACATATTATTTGCACCCTGATTACACTCAACCACTGTCATCCTTATACCAGCATCCAGACGACATTTCAATAAATACGGTTTAATCAGTTAAAAAAAATACTAATTCAATACTTCGTATAAATTATGTGCAAATACCAATACAATGTTAACTGTCCTGTGCAATCACGCTAATAAAGTGCAATATCACTTGGCCCAAAGCCGTCAGTCCATAGTGACGAAGT